TTCTAGTATTGTAAAGTGATCTATGACATGAAGCTTTTGTAGATACACCGAATCTATCTATCAGTTCTTATTTTGTTTGTGTGGGGTGTGGTGTTCGTCGTAGATTTAAGCAGGGCTTCGGTCCTGCTAGAGTTGTCTTTAGTTTGAGCTGAAATCGCAATAAAGCATGAGCTGATCACAATCACATGTCGAAACCATTATATTTCACCTGTCCTCACAGGAGTGCCCTCGCCTGGAAGAGAAGACACTTTCTACAGCCTTTTGACTGCGCATGCTGTAAGGAGAAATGCTGGACTGTGGGGAGACCTCTTTAAAATTAATAAAGGATAGCTGCTTGTTTTTTCAAACATCATACCATAGTCTTAGTAAGTATTCAGCTGTAAAATATAAACATATTTTAATTTTCTAAAAACACACAGCAAGTTAGAAGAGGGGTTTTTCTCACTATACAGTTCCTTTTGTTCACCCAATTAGGCTCTCCTAAAAACATCTCAACCATTTATTTCTAGATCCTTTGAAGTAAAAGATCCCACTATAGATCTCTAACTTTTAGCAGGTCATTAGTAGGGCAGTCTGTGCCATCTCAATTCCTACCCCCGAACCGCCTCGACTCTGGCATAGGACCTCTGTCAGATTCAATTTCAGCCAGCTCAGTCTAAGCCAACCAGCCACGGCTTGCAACATCAGGTTCAGATCTTCCGGACTGAAGTCAGACTGGCCACGTAACATCAGATACAGCTGGGTGTCATCTGCATACTGGTGACATCCCAGCCCATGCCTCTGGGCAATCTGGGCAAGAGGGCACATATAGATGTTAAAGAACATTGGTGAAAGTACCACCCCTTGGGGCACTCTGCAAACTAGTGGGTGCCTTCGGGACAGCTGTTCCCCTAACACCCCCCTTTGTCCCTGACCCTGAAGGAACGAGGAGAGCCACTGCAAGGCAGACCACTGGATCCCAGTGTTGGCAAGGTGGTGGATCAGTAGTTGATGGTCAATCATGTTGAACGCCGCTGACGGGTCCAACAACAGCAACACTGCTGAACTGCCCCAATCCAGATGCCTCCAAAGGTTGACAGCGCCATCTCTGTCCCATGGATTGTTTGGTGATGGATTATTTGAGAATGCAAACATCTGCTAAGCTCTCACCTAAGTTTTTGTTGTTCAGTCGCACAGTCGAGTCCGACTCTTCGCGACCCCATGGACCAGATCACGCCAGGCCCTCCTGTCTTCCGTTGCGCTCCGGAGTTTGCTTAATTTCATGTTCATTGCATCTATGACACTGTTTAACCATCTCATCCTTTGCCGTCCCCGTCTTCTTTGACCTTCAATCTTTCCCAGCATCAGGGTCTTCTCCAGGGAGTGCTCCCTTCTCATTGGGTGGCCAAAGTATTTGAGCTTCCGTTTCATTATCTGGCCTTCCAGGGAACAGTCAGGGTTGATTACTTTTAGGACTGACTGATTTGATCTTCTTGCAGTCCAAGGGACTCTCAAGAGTCTTCTCCAGCACCATAGTTCAAAAGAATCTATTCTTCGGCGCTCGGCCTTCCTTATAGTCCAACTCTCGCAGGCATCCATGACTACTGGGAATACCATTGCTTTGACCATGCATACTCACCAAAGTACCAAGGGACAATTTCCCCATACTAATGATACATACCCCCCCCCATTAACAGCAAATCAGTGGATATCAAGGATATTTTTTTTGGGGGTATTTCTACACATCACAGGCGCAACAGAAAAAGGTCTTCCAAGCATTGTGTTGGAGAGTGTGGAGGAGAATTATGGATTGTTGCTGTCTGTGTAGTGGTTAAGTGCGAGGACTCTAATTTGGGAGAATGGGGTCTGATTCCCCACTCCTCCACTTGCACCTGTGTGGATGACCTTGGGCAAGCCACAGTTCTGACAAGAGCTGTCCTTGAAAAAGAGCTGTTTCTGCCAGAGCTCTCTCAGACCCCCCCCCACGGGGTGTGTGTTGTGGGGAGGGAGAAGGGAAATGAGTTTGTAAGCCACTCTGAGACACCTTTGGGTAGTGAAGGGCCATGGTGTAGAAATCCAATCTCTTCTTCTTCATCATCCTGGAACTGAGCTTGGGATATTTTGTGCTCTGCCACTCAGTTATGGCGTAAATGCCGCCTCTCTCTTCCCAGAATAAGGAACATGGCGAGAACTCTGTCCCGAATGGTCTTGGTTTTCACCCCGTACACAATGGGGTTCAAAGTGGGCGGTACCAGAAGGTAGAGTATGGCCACCATGATGTGAACATGGTGGGGGAAATTGTGGCCAAACCGGTGTGTGAGGAAAGTGAAGAGGGCAGGAATGTAGAAGGAGAGGATGACACAGATGTGGGAGGCACAGGTGCCGAAGGCCTTCAGACGGGCCTCGTTGGACGGGAGCTTCAGCACGGCCCTGAGGATCAAGGCGTAGGATGCAGCAATGATGGCGACGTCAAACCCCACCACGACGAAAGCCACAAAGAGGCCGTACACGGTGTTGACTCGGGCATTCCCGCACACCAACTTCACCACTGCCATGTGCTCACAGTATGAGTGGGCGATGTAACGGCGGTGGCAGTAAGGCAGCCTGCTGGCCAGGAAGGAGAAGGGGCTGATGAGGACCACCCCGCGCAGCAGGATGAGGCCCCCCAGCTTCCCTACCACCGACAAGGAGAGGATGGCCGAGTGCCGGAGCGGGAAGCAGATGGCGACGTAGCGGTCCAGGGCCATGGCCATCAGCACGCCAGACTCGACGGAGGAGAAGGCGTGGATGAAGAACATCTGGGCCAGGCAGGCGTGGAAGCTGATGGCTCGGGAGCCCAGCCAGAAAACAGACAGCATTTTGGGCACGGTGGAGGTGGAGAGGACCAGGTCGGTGGTGGCCAGCATGGCCAGGAAGAGGTACATGGGCTGGTGGAGGCTGGCCTCCGTCTTGATGAGGTAGAGGACGGTGCCGTTTCCCAGGGCTGCAGTGATGTACATGAGACACAAGGGGATGGCGATCCAGCCCTGCTCCCGCTCTAGCCCAGGGATCCCCACCAGGAGGAAGAAGGCCGGGTGCGAAGGGGGCCAGCTGGCATTCGGAGTAGACATGGCAGGCAGTTGGCTTCAGCACTTGCATCAGGGAACCTAGAAAGGCAAAGCAGGCAAAGGTGGATTGGAAAGGGCTGTGGCTCAATGGCGGAGCATCGGCTTGGCACGCAGAAGGTCCCAGGTTCAATCCCCGGGCTCTCCAGTTAAAAGGACCAGGCAGGAGGTGATGGGAAAAGGGCTCTGTGCCTGAGACCCTGGAGAGCAACTGCCAGTCTGAATACAAAATACTAACACTGATGGACCAAGGGTCGGATTCAGTGGAAGGTGGCTTCATGTGTTCTTGTCAAAGGGAAGAAAGGGCTGTGGCTCAGTGGTAGAGCATCTGCTTCGCATGCAGAAGGTCCCAGGTTCAATCCCTGGCACCCCCAGTTAAAAGGATCAGGGAATATATGATGTGAAAGACCCCGGCCTCAGACCCTGGAGAATCGCAGCCAGTATGAATAGACAATACTGACTTAGAATCATAGAATCATAGAATGTTAGAGATGGAAGGGACCTTGTAGGTCATCTAGTCCAACCCCCTGCACTCTGCAGGAGCCTAGCTGAAAGAGAGCCCTACATACCGACAACATACCCGAAAGATGGTCGTCCAGCCTCCGCTTGAAAACGTCCAACGGAGGAACCTCCATCACCTCCCGAGGCAGACTGTTCCACTGTTCAACCACTCTGACAGTTAGGAAGTTTCTCCTAATATTCAGCCGGTATTGACTCCCTTGTAATTTCCACCCATTAGATCTAGTCTTGCAATCCGGAGCCAGAGAGAAGAGATCCGCTCCATCTTCTACATGACAGCCCTTCAAATACTTGAAGACTGCAATCATGTCCCCTCTGAGCCTTCTCTTTCCCAGGCTAAACAGACCCAACTCTTTCAGCCTTTCCTCCTAAGACTTGGACTCCAACCCTCTCACCATCCTGGTTGCCCTCTTCTGGACACGCACGAGTGTCTCAACATCCTTCCTAAAATGTGGTGCCCAAAACTGGACACGGTACTCCAGGTGAGGCCTGACCATAGCAGAACAGAGTGGAACTACCACCTCCCGTGATCTGGACACAATGCTTCTGTTGATGCACCAGGCTCATAGCAAATATGTTCTGTCAAAACGTGTTCGCTTTTTTCTTAGGTACAGAATGTACTCAGAATCGTTATATCATAGATTTTTTTTTTTAAAAAAAAATTGGTCTTTTCAAAAATAAATTGGTGTGCTGTGGCCCTATTACTATTTCTAGAGGCAAAGATGTTTGCTAGACTTCTCCGTGAAATACATTCCTTTGTTGGAGGGCTTGGAGCTTGTGTTTCAAGGGTTTTACAGGAAGGTCTGTGCTACATGTGCCAAAGTGTCCAAATGTGGGGATGCCACGTATACTTTACACAGAGGGTGTGTTCAGACGGGCCATTTAGTCCGCTTACGGCCGGGTGTTTCAGTTGGATCGTCTAGGTGGGGTGAGGGGTGGGGGGCACGGGAGTCTTTGTCCGGGGACATGTGCTGGCTCTTCATTGCAGGGGGGCGGTTCCGCCCAAATCTCTCATAGAGTGCAATCCTGAAAAGCCCTTTCTTAGGCGTAAGCCCCGTGGAACGCCCCTGCACAGGACCCCCCTCTGAAGCTCATGCAATGTACAGACCTCGACACTTACCAAACATTCCTGACCGGCAGCGACTCTCCAGAGGTCCCGGCTGAGAAAGGTCCTCCTCCACACCTGAGGTCTCCCTCTTAGCGTGGCCGGAAGCAGGGACCGTCTGCAGGCAGGACAGGCGCCGAGGCCCCTTCCTTCCCTGGGGTTTGGCCTGGGGGGGGGGCTGAGGTATTATCCTTCCCTACAGTCAAGCTGCGGTGGCTCAAGTGGTTAAGACACTGAACTGCAGGCTGTGGAAGGTCAGTAGTTCAGCAGTTCTGTGATTGCACCCGTTTGATGCGCCCCCAATCTGTCCCTCTTGTGGGGCAAAACCTCCCGTGTGACCGGGGCCATTATTTCATCACACCACTCCAGTGTGAAGGTAACAGTGTTCCGTGCGCCTTGGTGTTTAGTCACGCCGGCCACATGACCACGGAAATGTCTTCGGACAGCGCTGGCTCTTCAGCTTTGAAACGGAGATGAGCACCACAACCCTAGAGTCGGATTCGACTGGCTTTCAAGCAAGGGAACCTTTTCCTTTACCTTTATAGTCAAGGGCAGCCCTGTCCCTCCCCCAAGCCTCTGAGCAGCTACCGCACAAAAGGGTAACCCTGCAAATGCAGCCCGCCTTACCTCGATTCCCCCCATCCCCTCTGCAGGAAGTATTGCCGGAATGCCAAAGCGGGTGTCTTCCTTTCTCTTTCCGTGTGACTCCCCCATATGGATGCACCGGAGCATTTATGCGTTCCTGTGAGTCCCATGGAAGGATGGACCCCTGGCACACCGGGGAGCTCCCCTTGCAGGAATACTTCTGCAGTGCGGGTTGTGTTCACCACAGCTGGTGCCCTTGGGAACCTCTTGGCAGTCAAATGCATTTGTAAGATAACCAATCTGTATTTCTTTCCGTCAATGGCCAGGCAAACTCCGGGGGCTGCCGGCAGTCTTTGAGACCTGAGTGACCTGAGACCCAGGGAATGAATGTCCAAGCAAACCAGCAATACACATTCATGGGCATTTCAGACCCAAAAGCAGGTTTTTAGCTACTGCCTGTGACACAACCTATGTTCACTGTACAACCGAAGAAGAGCCCTGCTGGATCAGACCAGTGAGGGTCCCTCTAGTCCAGCATCCTGTCCCACACGGTGGCCAGCCAGTTCCTCTGGAGATCCAACAACAGTGCAGAGAGACCGAGGCCTTCCCCTGAGAAGAACCTCAGAAGAGCCCTGCTGGATCAGACCAGTGAGGGTCCATCCAGTCTAGTCTCTCGTCTCACACAGTGTCCAGCCAGTTCCCCTGGAGGGCCAACAACAGGGCAGAGAGGCCAAGGCCTTCCCCTGAGAAGAACCTCAGAAGAGCCCTGCTGGGTCAGACCAGGGAGGGTCCATCTGCCTCCTGTCTCCCAAAGTGGCCAGCCAATTCCTCTTATAGGGCCAACAACAGGGCGGAGCGGCCGATGCCTTCCCCTGAGAAGAACCTCAGAAGAGCTCTGCTGGGTCAGACCAGGGAGGATCCATCTAGTCCATCATCCCATCTCACGCCATGGCCAGCCAGTTCCTCTGGAGGGCCAGCAACAGGACAGAGACGCCGAGGCCTTCCCCTGAGAAGAACCTCAGAAGAGGCTCAGACCAGGGAGGGTCCACCTAGTCCAGCCTTCTGTCTCACACTGTGGCCAGCCAGTTTCTCTGGAGGGCCAGCAACAGGGCAGAGAGGCCGAGGCCTTCCCCTGAGAAGAACCTCAGAAGAGCCCTGCTGGGTCAGACCAGGGAGGGTCCCTCTAGTCCAGCCTCCCATCTCACACAGCCGCCAGCCAGTTCCTCTGGAGGGCCAGCAACAGGGCAGAGAGGCCGAGGCCTTGCCCTGATGTTGCCCCCTGGCTCTGGGATTCAGAGGATGACTGCCTCTAAATGGGGAGGTTCTCTTCAGTCACCACGGATAGTCCTCCCCACCACGAATCAGCTGTTTTATTTTCAGTCTCTTTCCTGATAATCCTCAGTGCAGAATTTGCCCTTTTCGCCACTTCAGCCCTCAAGGTGGACACCTGTATTGAGTTATTCGCTATGACTGGCCTGGTCCAGCATGGCTTCTCTGATGCTCCTAAACAGCCAGATCAGATTATCTGATGCAGGAAGGAAGTGATCTTCCCCAGCTGGCCCTGGCTCCGCCCCCTTCCCCTCTGAGCAAACACTGGGCCAGGGGGTGAGATGCAGAGAGGGGCTGCCTGCCACCCCCCTCATGCCTCGGCAGCTGCTCAGAAGAGCAAGGTTTTGTCTGATGAATGCAAACGTCCATTCTTTGGCAGGGGCCTGTGGGCTGCCACGTTGCATACCTCTCTGTGCGGCACATGGATGGGTGGGCCTCATGCCTACTCTCCTTGGGGCATTGGCTTCCTGCCCGTGTCATGGACACAAGAGGCGGCATGGGAAGAAGAAGAAGAAGAAGAAGAAGAAGAAGAAGAAGAAGAAGAAGAAGAAGAAGAAGAAGAAGAAGAAGAAGAAGAAGAAGAAGAAGAAGAAGAGGAGGA